GATCAGGACCCGTATTTATCAAGCTTCTCAAGGTGCCATTTTAGTCTTAAGTGCTGAGAATTCATTAAATTTACTCCTACTTTCAAACTTAAATATAAAAACAAGTTATCAAATTTCTTAAAGCTAAGAATCAATCTTACTCTCCCAGTTATTTAAGATGGCTCGAAAGGTCTCTCAAGTGGTTAGGAGTTGCCAGTAGGGGCTTGTGATGGCGCTGAGGAGACAGAGACGTGAGCTTATCTTTCAGGAGAGGAATAATGTTCTTGAAATGTTTGAAGACGAGCAGTTAATAAACAGTTACATTTCCTCATTTAGTCAAACAGAAACGAGCAAAGAATATTTACATTTCCAAAGAACATCATAACTGACTTCAGTCAAGCGTGAGTATATATGCTCTTTTAAAACACTCCCGTTAAAAATCAGTGAAGCTACCTACACTGTATCATGAATAAATCCTGATATTATCTATCAACCTAATCTGATTAATTTGATCGTTCGTTTTTATTCTAAAACCGCGAGTGCAGCGCGTCTGCAGCGCATTAGCATTCGTTAGACGGTTAGCTTGTCAGTAGCATTTCCATTCATGCCTATGGCTGTTTAATTTTTTTCTCTCTCTCTCTCTCTCCGTTTCTTTTCTCTCTCGCTCTGTTTTTTCACAAGTTCATCAAACAACTGTGGTAAGTCAGAATCATTCATCAATCACGGTGAGTAATGGCTTCTTCTCCTTCTATTGTTGTTTGCACCGCTTGCCGTGCTGGCTAATGCTAAACGTAAATACAGTAAGATTGTTATTCACGCCGGCTCTAATGATGTTCGACATCGCCAGTCGGAGATCACTAAAAATAACCTTAACCCTCTGGGGTCCGAGGGTGTTTTAGGGCCCTGGAGAAGTTTTGACATGCCCTGAAGAAAACAACGTTTATGCGTGCTTAGTGAAAAACTACAATTTTAAAGTCACTGAAATAATGCCATAAAACACATACAGAACATTTGTTCACAAGACTTTTGAGAACTGGGTCTTGAAGTCTAGAGTTTTTGCTTGTTGAGTTGAAAACTGAACGAGTGTCCTCTTCCTATGAGAGATGCAGGTGAATGCAAGAGTGGTGTATTCCCTACAGTACCTTAGTATTGAAACTTCATAATGTTTCACTTGATTATACATTTAGTCAGGAATTATAGTTTGGAAAATGTCTAACTAGTAAAATGTGTACAAGTTATGTGAAAACAGTGTTATCAGGAGAAGATGCCACAAAACGCGTATCCGCGTTTGTCGACCCCAAAGGGTTAAAGAGGTGTGTGAAATTGCAAGTACTATGTCAGACACTGTAATATGCTCTGGTCCCCTCCCTGCTTACCGTTGTGATGAGATACATAGCAGACTGTCGTCACTCAATGGCTGGATGTCTAAGTGGTGCCCGCAGAATAACATTGTAACAGAACGACACAAAAAGATGATGGTTAGTTTAAACCGTTTATTAACAGCAGGGAGTTAATGAGCAAACAGATGAGCAATGCAGCAATGGATTGTAGAAACAGAAGGAGAGGTAGTAATAATACTGTCCTGTACTTTGCAGGTTGGGAGATCGGGGACGCTGTGAAGAGGAGAGGAATCCAGGAAGGTAGGAGATGAAAAGTCCGGGAGTCGATGAATATCACAAGGGAGAATAGGAATGATTCTGTTGCTCAATGTGAGACCAGACGATGAGTGGAGGTGAGGTGTGCGTTTATATAGGGAGGTGATTAGTGATGATGAGCAGGTGTGTCCAGTTAGAATTCTGGGGAAGGTGCACGTTGTGATTGGGAGGTGAGAGAGCCTGGCTCATCCGTGACAGCACCCCCTCCCCCACGGCCCGCTGCTGAGGGCCGCGGACCCCGCCGTCATGGTGGCCGACCTCTTCCTCGGGGTGCTGGTTGGTCAGGATGGGATTCGTGGAATTCAGTGAGGAGAGCTGGATCAAGGATGTCATCTCGTGGAATCCAGGACCGTTCCTCAGGTCCGTAGCTCTCCCAATCCACTAAGTATTCCAAACGACCACCACGGCGACGGGAGTCCAGAATCTCCCGAACCGAGTATACGGTGCCGTCCTCCACATCCACCGGAGGAAGGGGTTCCACTGTCTGGCCAGGCTCTGTGGAGGAAGTAGAAGGAGGTGAGTGAAATGGCTTGAGGAGTGACACATGGAATGTTGGGTGGATACGGTAAGTGACTGGTAACTTGAGAAGGTAAGTGACTGGGTTAATTTGACAGACAATGGGAAAGGGACCAATGTATCTGGGACTTAACTTCTTGTTAGGCAAGGCATCCTGATGTCCCGCGTGGAAAGCCAAACCAACTGCCCTTGTTGGTATTCGGGAGTGTTGGCCCGTCGATCATCCGCCTGGATTCTTTGCCGTCGCACTGCCCTCTGAAGGTGATGATGAGATTCGTCCCAGACTCTCTCGCTCTCCCGGAACCAGTGATTGAGAGATGGTACGTCCGAGGGTTCCCCGGACCACGAAAATAGTGGCGGCTGGTATCCGAGTACGCACTGGAATGGGGTAAGTCCAGTGGTTGGTTGTTGTAGCGAGTTCAGGGCATACTCGGCCCAGCCTAGAAACAGGCTCCAGGAGTTCTGGTGGCTGTGACAGAAGGTCCGGAGAAAGCGCCTGATCTCTTGAATCTTGCGTTCCGTCTGCCCATTCGACTGAGGGTGGTATCCCGAGGACAGGCTTACAGTCACCCCTAGGAGAGAGAAGAAAGTCCGCCATACCGTGGACACGAACTGCGGTCCTCTGTCTGACACTGTCTTCCGGGAGGCCGAAGTATCTGAACACGTGCTGAAATAACAGTTCTGCAGTTTCCATTGCAGTAGGCAGTTTATTCAGAGGAATAAGGCGACATGACTTTGAGAATCGGTCTACTATGACTAATATGCAAGTCTTACCAGCAGAGGATGGTAGGTCTGTGATAAAATCCACTGCCAGGTGTGACCAGGGTCTATGTGGAATGGGCAGAGGTTGGAGCTTGCCTGCTGGTAAGTGGCGTTGACTCTTGGAGATGGCGCATTCCTTACAGCCTTGAACAAACCTCCTAACATCACATGCCATGCCCAGCCACCAGAAGCGGTTGCGTAGCAGCGAGAGAGTTACATTGGCCCCTGGGTGGCCAGTGCGCAAGGATGAGTGAACTGATTGGATTATGGTGGTATGTTGAGATGGTGGAATATACAGACGATCAGGAGGGCACCCCGGTGGAGTAGCAGAGGGAGTATTGGCGGAGGATACTTCTGGGGTAGTGGACCACTGAATCGGGCAGGTGAAGATCTTTTGAGGAAGAATGGTCTCAGGAGTGGGAGGAGTTTCAGCTGGAGCATAGAGTCGCGAAAGGGCATCTGCCCATATATTTTTGTGGCCAGGTCGGTAGGTTATGGAGAAGTTGAAGCGTGTGAAGAAGAGAGCCCAACGAGCTTGTCTGGGATTGAGACGTTTGGTATTTCTAAGATACTCCAGGTTCTTGTGATCGGTGTACACGGTGAAAGGATGTGCGGCTCCCTCCAGCCAATGCCTCTGCTCTTCCAGAGCGAGTTTGATGGCAATTAACTCTCTATTCCCGATGTCATAGTTACTCTCCGCTGGGGTGAGTTTTCGGGAAAAGAAGGCACATGGCAGGAGTTTGGTTGAGTCCCCATGCTGCTGAGACAGCACCGCTCCGACGCCACTGGTAGAGGCATCAACCTCCACCACAAAGGGTCTTGAGGGATCCGGATGAACGAGGAGCGGTGCGGTGGTATAATAATAAAAAAAAAAAAATCCTTACATTTATATAGCGCTTTTCT